TTAGGGTGGACACAAAGAAGATAAGAGGATATAAGAACAATTTACAGTGCTGCTTCAGTATGGAATTATTTCTACATGAAAGCTTAGCATGAGAAAAAACATTTTATTTTATTTACATTTTATTAGTGGTCCCCGTGGTAATTGGAGGAGTTAGGGCAGTGACCGCAATCTTGGTGATCATTACCAGCACATCCCACAAACGGCATCTGAGATCTATATGCAGAACAGTGCAGTCATAGGAGTAGCAAAGTTAATGCATGGGACCCTCAAGCTCCCAGGCCTCTGGTAGAGGACCTGAGCTAACTACTGCATTATTTAAACATGACACACACACACACACACACACACACACACACACACACACACACACACACACACACACGTATATGATACAATAATACAGTAGCATCAAAATGGAATGTTTCATAGTTCAGTGATGTGTGCAGTAACAGTACAACAAAGTTCACAACTCAGTATTGCTTTAAAACAACATTATAATTGAATATGGGCTGTATGGTGGGGAGTCCAAAGTATTTAAACCCTAGTGGGTGGTATCCTTAAGGGGATCATTGACCCGCTATTAATCATGTGTCTCACATGAGCTAAGGTGTCAAAAGAGGGGACTCTCCACATCCAGCTTTTAAAGGAAGCTCTTGGATGCAAGGTGAATATCCGAGAATCATCTTCAAGAATCGTCTTCAAGATTCACCTCGCATATTTATCACTACATACATCTACTTTCAGTACTAGTAGTAGTATTTATAGTTCCTTTGAGCAATCACTTCCTTCAAACCATCAACATGCCCATTATACCTGATTCCTACAAGACTCCCCCAAAAAGTCCTAGACTATATTGACTGTTTGAAGGCACTATTGGCCTTCAAACAAATAGTAATTAAATCATTACTTAAAAAGTCATCACTTTACCCAGCTTCTGTGGTACAGACACCCACCTAAATTTACGATTACGTTTAAACTTTCCTTTTGGACAAAGCATATACAGTTGTATGGCAAAGTGTTTGCCCACCTGATTTACTTTTTTTTGTATGTTTGTAACAATGATGTTTCAGATCATTAAACAAAATTTTAATATTATTCAAAGATACTACAAGTAAATACATAATGCAGTTTCTAAACGATAGTTTTTATTATTAAGGGGAAATTAATCCAGACCTACATTGCCCTGTGCAAAAAAAAAGTGATTTCCTCTTAAACCCACTAACTGGTTGGGCCACCTTTAGCAGTAAAAACTGTAAACAAGTATTTGCAATAACTGGTAATGAGTCTTTTACAGTGCTGTTGAGGAATTATGGCCCACTGATTTTTGCAGAATTGTTGTGATTCAGCCACAGTGGTAACTTAACCTCCATGAGGTCTCTGGATGTTAAAATCAAACTAGTTACCAGTCATCAGTTACACCAGCCAAGTGACACAGACGCACAGATGTATAGAGAAGTACAGTTTGACTTGGAGTTAGGAATGGGGATTGAGAACTGGTTCTTGTAGAGAACTGGTTCCCAGAAGCTCAGTTCCTTGGAGTCAATAACCTGCTTTCCTATCGATTCCACTTGCACTTGCACAACAATCATCTGATTTCAGCTGAGTTTGTGTGCTGGAGGAGGAAAATGCTGGCTCAGTTTGCAGCGTGAATATTGACAATACTTTTACTTTTATTGTACAAAAACGAGAGTGTAATGGTGAAGTGAAGACTACATCCAGGACAGAAACAACTGCATTATACTGATAACTGAACTTCTTTCTTTGCGAGCACGTGCATAGCCAGAGTGCTAACTCTAAGCTAGCCAAAAACACAGAGTTATGTTAAAGCTGAGTAGATGCCGATCCCAGCTCAGCAGTCAGACTCTGAACTTCTAACAGCTAACAAAAACAATGATGAGCAGTCAGGCTGCAACCTCCATTTCTACCTGTTCATATTTCAACACAGAATCACTGTGTGCTGTCAAATTTGTGTTTATACCTAAATAATAAGAGAAAGATCATATCTGACTTCATTAAGATGGGATTTGTGTTGGTGTGTGGGACTGTAGCCTGTAGGTTTATATTATTAACTGATAATTATGAGACAGTGTGTTTCAGATCAGAGTTACAAACCAAATAATTCCGTAAGATAAGATAATATAATATAAACCTTATCCCATAAGTGGCAAATTTTCTTGATAACGTACTGCATTACTTTTTAGAAAGGTTTTCTGTGTTACATGTGTAATACATTACTTATTTCTTTTGAGCAATGACCCCAACACTGATCACAACAGATGATAAATACCTCCAACTTTTACAAACATTTGACCACTCAGCATGTAATTAATTTGCACAAATGTGTCTTTGATATGTTGCTTAGAGATGGTGGTGACTCTCGAATCAGAGTCAATGAGAACCCAATGAGACTTGGTATCAAATTGATAGCAATAATGGAATTGCTAAAATGATCTCAATTACCATCCCTACTTGAAAATCTTTTTTAAAAGTCAGGCTTTTTCATTTACCACTTGCAAAATCAGTATTCACATGGCAGTCTTTTAAAGGTTTGTCTTTATAGTTGCAGCTGGAAATAGTATCTTTACATGTAAAATAGTTTAAAACATCAGCAAGCAATATAATGACTGCAATCATAAATAAACATTTCAGTGAAATGTTGTAAATCAGGTATGTCAACTCAAATTTACTCACACAAAGATGCCACACTGGAAAAAATGGCCCTCCAAAAACAAGAAAAAAAAACTTAATACAAAAATAGAATGAAGCTGCACAATTTCCAGTTTTTATTGTTTATATTGACATGATAGCCTCTGGTAAACTCAGATACAGATACATGCTTAGATAAGCAAAATAGTACTGAAAGTATTCACAAATGCATTTTATATATGTAAGAAGACACACCTGAAGATATATTTAAAAATCTCACATAAAATATGATATGCAGTAATTATCTAGATAACAATACCAGAATATCAGAATTACAAATGTCAGAGCTCTACACAACTAAAACTAAGATCAGATCCTTATGCATTGTATAAAAGTAGAATAGATGACTTGACAGACAATGAACCAGGACCAATCAGGACAGAAAGATCAGGTCAGATCAGGATTTTCTGCAGAAATTATTCTCTTAGTTTCACCATTTCACAATTTTCACAGAATTGCCCTTCATAGAAGAAAAGAAACTTGAATAAACATCTTATCTAAACATAATATCTTGGAAAGATAAATCCCTCATCCCATTTCATTACACATGGTACATGGTTATACATGCAGACAATCTAAAGCCAAAATTATAATGTGAAATTAGGCAGTTCCCTGACTTTTATGCTGATAATATTCAGCTCTACTGCTCAGAAGAGCAGTAGAGCTGAACAGTTTGGAAGTCCATAAACTGTCCTTTTAAAAACTGACTTTAAAGCTTTGAATCATGACGCTCCTGCCTATATTTCTGATCTCTTAGAACCTCCCACTCCTTCTCGCAGCCTGAGATCATCTAATCAAAGGCTGTTGGTAGTTCCCCAAACACGTTTTAAAACCAGAGTTGATAGATCTTTTAGAGTGGTGGCCCCCAGGTTGTGGAATTCTCTCCCTCCGGAATTTTATTTATTCTTTTAAACATCATCTTAAGACTCACTTATTTAGATTAGCTTTTAATTAGATTTGTACTGTATGTTTGATTGTACTGTTTTATGTTTATGTGTTTTATATTATTGTGAAGCACTTTGTGGTTTTTATCCTGTGAAGATTGCTATATAAATCAATAAAGTAAAGTAAAGTAAAGTAAATTCCATGAACACACTTCTCGAACTCTTGTTATTTGCTGTTGATCATCTTACTGGAGGAAGTTGCTTCAGCTGATTTTTTAAGCCTTCTTAATGAACATACAAACCACAGGAAGATGAAAAAACCTGCAAGGCAAACAGAAGAGAGAGCAAGAGAGAGTTAAATAGAGGAGGTTTGGACAGTGAGCCAGACATACAAATCATGCAATAAACCTGATATTTCAACAGTGTCAGATTGCTGTTTATCCATAGATGGTAAAAAACAAAAACAAACAAACAAAACACACCCCAACAGAAACAGTTGTATTGAAATCTGCTAAAAATAGAACCATCTATTTGATAGTACAGTGGCTTGGAAAAGTATTCGCCCCCCTTGAACTTTTCCACATTTTGTCACATTACAGCCACAAACATGAATCAATTTTATTGGAATTCCACGTGAAAGACCAAGTTTTTTCATTTATCTTTAGGCATGAAAATGATTTTTGTACTTCTATGTGCATTTTTAACTTCATTTTTTTAAACATGTAATTTTTTCCTTTTTCTTTTTTTAACATGGCAGGGTATGGAGTGACGTGACACATCAGTGTCCAGTGTAGTGGTTAATGTGCACGTAAACCATCAACAATGACACAAATACAAGAAAACAGCCTTCGAATAGCTGTCCACTGTAGTCACTAGTATGCATGAAAGGGTTAAATATGCATTTTCTGGTCATTTCAACTTTTATTTCAACCATCTATTTTCACAGCCACATATCTAATTTAGATTCACTGGGGGACTGGATTTTATCTGAGCTTTGACAGGTAGGGTATGCCCCGAACTGCTTGCCAGTCCATCACAGGACTAATATAAAAGTCTTTTTTATAATGTCATACAGTATTCTTGCAAAAGACCCATCATACCCAACTGATGTGACCACAACGGAATCCTAACCCATATTTTGGGAGTCACTAGTGGTTATTTCATATTAAAACCACCAAATCTGAAAAAAGTTCAGATCTGATCCTGTAGAATCGGCTGATTTAAATGAAGTTATGCATAAATACGTTTGGCCTTTTAAAAACTGCGATGAAATTAAGTTTACATTCATTTCACTTGTTAAAATCCACAATTATTTTCTGTTATTTTGGTTAGATTTAGTAGTAATTTTTGATTGAACACACACAAACACACACACAGAAGAACTAAATGAATGAAACACAATATACAGACCTTGCAGTGAGTTCAGGAGACAGAAAAGGTAGAGGGAAATGTTGGTCAGGTTACTGAACGAGAAGAAGACCAGGCCCCAGGTAATGCCGAGCAGAGCGCAGACACCCAGCAGGGGAAAAATTGCTTGCTTGGCGTTTTTGTGGCGAAGCTGTCCAAAAACAAAATGACACAAGACACAGCAGATTAGAGACAAAATCTGAATCTAACAGAGGCCTTCACATGTGTTTTAAAGGTAATGACAGGAATTCTTCAGTATTTTTTTTTTTGTTGTTATTTATTTTTTATAGACACTGTAATGGAAATTAGGTTTTAGGTACTGAAATATTACTGGAATGTAAACAGTTTATTTAAAAATCCACATTGAACCATTTCTCATGCAAAGAAATGAAAATTATCTCGAAAAACCAGCAGTCCTTGTTGTTAAGACCAGTTCATTGTTGGCGGGCTTATCAAAGGATACAATTTTGTGGAAGGATTTGGAAATTACTATAAATATCAAAGGTTGAAGTTTATTTAAAAAAGGATTACAAGAATAACTCATACCTCTTTGTTATACCCAACATTCAAAACACGTTTGACTGTCACCATAAACATGATCATGTTAAAGAGGAACACCATGGTGAACAGTCCAGTAGTAGTGACCGCCTTCACTGTTTCATTAGATATATAGCATCTACAAAGAAAGAAAACAGACAGTGATTTCATCTCACACAGTTATATGTTTATATATATATAGTGCTTTCGGTTCGGTATGCATATGTATTGAACAATACAAAATTTTTAATTTTTTTTATCAACGTTTCTTCTGACGATGCTGTCTGTGTTGAGAGCTCAGTGGATCTGCGTTCGACTACTCCGCCTAGGCTGCACTGTCGAGCGCAGATCCACTGAGCGCAGGGCAAGCTAGCAAGACAGAAGCTAAGCTCGTTGCAACATGGCAAATTTAATCTCCCCCACCCTCATTCAGATCTGGCGTTTGGAACTATTTTGGTCTTCATGTGACGTATGACCCTGAAGGTAAGCGCGTCATGGACAAAAGTAAAACAGTATGTCGGATGTGCCACGCAATGCTCAATTACATGGGTGGGAACTACTGCGTTAGTGCAGTTTGCTCGTTAACGTGTTGATGCCGTCTAGCCCCACGCACGGGGCGATCCGAGGTAGCTCGTTAACGGAGATTTGCCGTGTTGTGGCGTTAATGTCATTTCAACGAGATTAACCTGAAAGCACTAGTGGGAACACAATGAATATGACTGCACATTTATGCCGACATCATCCTAGTGCAAAGACAAGTGGAAGCAGACAAAAACAACAAGCACGCATGCTACAAATTTTACCCGAGCCATTTAGACAGTCGTTAGCACATGATTCTCCTTATGGGGACCTGATATGTTTAATATGCTGCTGAGAATATAGCTCAGAAGAAGCGTACAGTATAGCTTTTATTTTGGAAAGAGCCATTTCTCTGTAACAAACTCTCTTTTCCAAAGATGAGTGATTTCTCGATCAGATAGATTTATTATTTTATCCCTTTGTTGTTCCAGCAACATTAAATTTAAAAACTGTACTTTTGACTTAAAATATATATTTATAATTTTAATAAATGACAAATTAAAAAAGCATGAACATTTTTTTTATCGAAAAAACATCAAACCGAACCGTGAATTTTGTGTATCGTTGCACCCTAATATATATATACATATATATATATATATAATATATATATATATATATATATATATATATATATATAGAGAGAGAGAGAGAGAGAGAGAGAGAGAGAGAGAGAGAGAGATGAATGACTCTGTGTAATAAATATTTTCCTCACATTTTCATGTCATCATAGTTTGATCTGTCTAGAGGGACATGGCCATAAAAGCCTCTGTCTGTGATAACCACCACTGACACAATGACTGCAGGAACACCTGAAACACAAAAAATGATTAGTCACGCACAAGATTGCTGACTGCTTCCTGTTTGAAGGATTCCACTTACCCCATCCCACCACACTGAGTTTGAGAATGTATCTGCTGACAGAAATGTTAAAGATTTTGACTAAGAGAAGGTAGAGGTGGAACCCCTCCAAGGCCATCCAGGTGAAAGTGGCCAACAGGGAGTAGTGAAGGGCAAGAGCCATGTAGAAACAGAGCCAAGTGGAGGGGTGTGCTGCCACTGCCTGACTGGGCAGGAAGTGCAGGTTGAGGAGGATCAGGGCGATGACGAGATTGATGTGGATGTTCATAGAAACATCTTTTCTGAGCGTCCTGTTGGATAGAGAAGAAGGGATCTATTGTAAATGACAACTTTCTTTGTCATATTTGATTGAAAAATATGTTGATGGGGAAAAAAACAAAAACAAAAAACCACAAATTACCTGTTTGTGATGAAGAGTAAAACGGTGATGATCAGAGTAAAGAGAGACACGCTACAGCCAATCACAGAAATGTATGCTAATATCTCAATTTCTTTTTTTGAGACGTGCACAGAAGGAGACGTCTGTGGAGCAAATACACTTTCACATTATTTGTTCACATTATTAGTGGCACAAAATTGAGGTTTTTAGATGTTTTAAGTTTAGTGATTCTATATTTACTAGGTGGACAAATCCTAAAAATGGGGCGGTTATTTATTTAAGATAGTTTTTTTAAATGTATTCATTTTACAAAATGTTTAAGTTTAGCCTTTTTAACTTTAATAACAATATTTCAGACCTAACTGCTTTTGTTACAATTGGCAAGTTAACTGGCATATTAAATCACCTCTGCTGTTTTTAACAGAAAGCTAATTAAATGTTACTGTATCCGTTATAATAAACTCACAACTTTTATTCCAGTAGCTGGTGTGTAGGGGTCATTAGCTTGTTGCCTGACCCAAGCTTTAGCTGTCAGACAGAGTGCCTCACATTTGACACTGTAATGCATAGGTACACCGTGAATGCAGTCAGCTCAATGACTGCAAGGTACCACATCATTCCACGCTTGAGTATGAGCTGCGTGGACCTTTTCCATGTTTGGTATTCTTGTACGTTGCCTCCATTTTGTTCTTGCCTGTCTGAAGGACACTGGACCTCATTTACTAATATTTGCATATAAATGTTCTTACCCTGGCTAGGGCTGCCACAAACGATTATTTTGATAGTCGACTAGTCACCGATTATTTTTGCGATTAGTCGACTAATCAGATCATGCATCCATTGGACGTAAAACCTACAGCTTATTGCACCAGCAGCATCTGCTCTTATATAACTATCATTAGCTTACAGCTTTAAGCTTTTAAGGTATGTGCTAACTAAAAAAGACAAGATGTTAGTTTATTACATTTTAATGAAATTTGCAGATTGTTTCCGTCTGCTCCTTGCTATCTAAAATATAACAGGACACCGGAGTATACTCTTGAGCATCTCACACTTCTGATGATCAGCTGTCTGCTTGACGTTTATTCAGTTGTGTAAAAACTGTAACTTTAATCTCAGCCAAACCGATTTACTCAGGAACAAATAAAATACAAAAAAAAGCAAAACAATAACATTTTTAAGTTATCTAAGTGACTCATATATGTTTAACCTGAGTAGCGAAAGACAGCGGTGGGTTTGAAAACTGTTTGCTGGGAGGCCAGTGTTCTCACCGGCGCTAGTGAGCCTTGCCCCCGGCTAGCTATCGAGCTAGTGGGTAACAGACGTCTCCGAAAACGTTGGAGTGTTTTTGAAAATATGTGGTGTCTTGATAAACTGAGCAGATATTTAAAGTTTACACAGCTACATTCAAGCTTGAATATATGTTAAACGTTTATTTTGTGACCCAGAAAGAATAATACCAGTAATATTCAAACTAACTAGCTGCTGCCATTGTTGGAAACTGAGCTGGGCTGCGCTATGAATTCTGGGACATAGCTTCTTCTTCTTCGGGGTTAATGGCAGCTGGCATCCTTGTACATGCAGTGCTGCCATCTTCTGTTTCGGTCCGTTATTACACGCTTAAATCCTACTACTTATTCCTGCGTCTTTTGTGATCTTACAAAGCTTCAAACGATGCGTCGACTATTAAATTAGTCGGCGACGATTTTGATAGTCGACGTAATCGTAACTAGTCGACTAATCGTGGCAGCCCTAACCCTGGCAAACCTTCATAGCAAGCAATACTTGTTTAGTGTTTTCCTAAACTTTTGGATTTAACAAGCCTAACTGAGGCATGACAAAACTGTGATGTAATTCTTTTTAAAACTCTCCTTCTTATTTATTTATTTAAAAGATTTCTTAAATTACTGGCATAATTTTATGCCTTTTTTTGTTCATTATACTTTGTATATTAAAAAAGAATAAATCTACCATGAGCACGCCGAAGTATGTGAAATGGTCACAGGAACAGGTGACATTACTTTGACCATCAGTCCACCGAGTGCGACAGCCATCCGTACTGAAATCTGGTAAGTGAAACAAAAACAACTATTATCCATGAGATGCTGTCACCTCTTAATTATATCAGTTCACTCAGAAATCTGTAATGTTGAGTGAAACTAGAAACCCAGATGACTACAAATTTAAAAAAGACATAGTTATGGTACATATTACTTTTTATGAGAGACATCATGCTTGGTTACTCACTGTTTGTTGAAAAATTAAAGAACTGACAGGAGGGTTCCTGGGTTTTCTATGGCAAAAATAAACAGACATATAACAAAATAACTATTTTATATCTGTTTAGTGTTATGCATCTATATTTTTTTACTAACTTTTAGTAATAATAATAATTTACACAGACTTCCATAATATTCAGGATTATATATCAATATGCAAGAGTGGAACAAGTGATGAAATGAAATTATAATTACATTTATATCCTTAAAGTTTATGGTGATGTTGACAGGATCCTTAAGACCTGATATTCGCTTGCCCTGCACACTCAGGATAACCAGTCTTCGCTCATATACATCATATAACACTCCCGCATCAGTCTAGAATGCAACACATACACCAGTTCATTTAAAAGTTTGTTCATAATGATTTTACGTAAGATTTTTATAAAATTCTAACTGCAAAAGGGGAAAGCAACTCAGAGATAATGTCGCACTGTTTTGAATCTGTCATTTACATCTTAGTAAAAACAAGAGGTTTGTCTTTTCCCATGTACTACTACTCTACCCCCTAAATTCAAATGTTTCTAAATTTGTATTGCTTTACATTTTGATTTACATAATACCAAAAGATCAACTTCTTGTGCATCACTGTGTTTGAGTAACTCTTCCTCTTTTTTCAAAACATAATTCAGCCTGCATGATGTGTAACACAACCCTTAACCCATTTACTTTTTTTCCTTTGTAATAATAATAAAGCAAATTATGTACAAAAATACTGAAAGGAATTCTGAATGAGTGTGAACTTGGCTAAAACTTGGCCAATGATATACAATCAATCACAAAAAAAATCTATGTGAATTTGCAGTTGGAGTTACGTGCAGAAATAAACTATAAACACTACAACAGTAAAAGATAAATCAGGTTTAAAAATGGTACCTGCTCACAAATCAAATAACAAGATAGCTCCCCAATACCCAGTCGAATCAAGTATCCATGGGATTCATTGGAACAAGCTTGATTTAGAACTCAAAACATATTTCATATTGACTGTGAGAAAATTGTGGAGAATTTTATACACAACAGAAGAAACAAAGTATTTTACAGAAGCCCATATGCTGCCCTACCCCATTTGTTTCAGGCAACTTAAACAAGGAGAACACAATCTTGTCCTGTTGTCCAATATCCAGAGTGCTTGGTAGCTGAACATGCACTTTGCTCTTGGGGACCTGACTCAATCCTGCCTATATCATTCCCAGAAACAGAGGGAGAAATATTGCATTTGAATACATGAAATAGTATGATAGAACTGTCACAGCTACTGCACAGTTGATGGTATTTAAAAGGCTTTTTGAAGTATTAATAGCAAGGAAATTTAGAAATGGAAATTTGTTCAGTGATGTAATAATTGATAAGAAAATAATATGACCTGCAAATTGTGCTCAAGGCAATGTCAATCAAAGCAGTAATCAGTAAAAGTCATCATCTGAGATCAAAGTGTGTGTACACATTGTTTAAATATCGTCTAACAGTTGTTCAGATATTTCAGCCCAAGCCAAAGAAATGATTGGACGTGGTTAGTATTGCTCCCAAAAAGTGAAAACAGCAGTGTCAATCCTTTCTGTCTTTTGGGTTTTTACCTCATTGTCACTGGCATAAATTTCAAGGCCTGTAAAGGAACCAGTGGGTTTGAAGAGGAGAGCCACAAAATTGCCTGAAGATATATTTATGACTCCTTTTACTGGAGTTTCTTCTAGAATTTTTTCTAGGCTCATCAAGGCTCTGGTGGAAAAGGACAAGAATAGTTCATCACAAGTATTATATTAGTTTACACCCTGTCATCGATTCAATAACACAAAAATATTCTTAATATTACCAAATTCTTCATTTTTAATGTAAAGTGTTTTACAAATTGCACTCACCCACCACACAAATGTTCAAACACCAAATTCTGACAAACTGAAAAAAAAAAATCATGTATTTAGGGTAAATAAAATGCTTACTCAGCAGGGTTTGTTTGGGTTGAACCATCCAGGATGTTTGTTGTATACCTCATACAGCAGCTGGCTGTAAAGTAATTAAAGGAAACAATTTAAATAAATTTTTCATGGGGGTATTACGTTTCAGCTCAAAATAGACATTATTCATTGTATCATGAACTTTTAGCCATAGACTACTTTGTGCAAAAGAAGTAAATGGACTGGTTCTGGTTCTGGTTCTTCTCACCTACCTAATGGAATAGTCCAGGGGTGAGTGGACTATTTAAGCGGGTGAACGCAGGTGTTCAGGAAGGAAGGACCAGGTCAGTGTAGCTGTATGGAGTTTGACCTTAATTTCCGTTGATTTAAGTTTAGTTATGTTTATTTGAACTGAGTTAATTATGGAGTTGAGTTTTTTTTTAAATTTATTTTTGTAAATATGGTTTGGTCACAAAATGGTGAATAAATCACTCGCTACACTGGACAGCATCTGTCTCCTGCACTTCTTTGGCCGCTTAAGTCAAGTTCTACCACATTTGGTGGCAGCAGCAGTGGGTTTCCAGGCCAATTAATGAGTGGAGAAGATGTCTACCCAAGCAAAGAGAGGGCTTGTTCCAGAATGTGAAGCAGGTGATTTACAAGATGGCAGCGACCAACAAGGGGCAGTAAGTGGCTATATTGATGGACAAGAGAATGTGGCTGAATTGTCCAAACGTTTGCGAACTCTGATGCAACAGCAGGCTGAACTCGATGCTAAACTGGAGCAAGAGCACAAGCACCAGGAGGATAGATGCAGGCAAATCTGGCATCAGTTTGCCCAGGTTCAACAGCAGGTGCAGCAGGGCAACCAATAGCGTCAGTTGCTTGAAGTTCAAGCATCTACATCTGCGTCTTCAAGAGGACCTACTCCAGAACCATCTTCCAGCACACAAGAATCAAATAAGTTTGACTTGGAGCCAGTACATCAACCCAGTGAAGCACAGCTTTCAACACTGATGAGACATTCAGACTGGAAGGTGCCAAAAATTCAACCTGACAGTGAAGGTAAGGACATTGAACATTATTTGATCACATTTGAAAGAATTACTAATTGCCACGAGATCAGTGGGCTCTTCACCTAGCACCACTGCTAACTGGGAAAGCTTGTTCCGCCTATGTAGCTATGGATATTGATGACACTATGGACTATGCAAAAGTAAAGTGTGCTGTCTTGCAGAAGTATGAAATAAGTTTTGACACCTATCGAATGAGGTTTTGTTCTAGTACTTTTGGAGAAGAGGGAACCCCAAAGACGAACGATCAAATTGGATATTCCATTGTTATGGAACAGTTTCTCAAGGTTCTGAATCCTGATATGCAGATGTGGTTTAAGGAACATATCCTAAAGACTTCCAAGCACGCAGCAGAACTGGCTGAAGCTTTCTTAGCAGCTTGTCGACCATCAAAAGACTTCATTCAAGCTAGGTTTTTTTTTCCAACATGCCATCGAACGAGTTAGGTGGTGGAACTGACTTAAACGCTAAGCACACATGACAGAACTGGTATAACTCAGATCCTGCCAGATCTGAGACAAAAAATAAAACCAATAAAACATGTCATTTGTGTGGTCAAATAGGTCATCTTAAAGCTCAGTGTACAAAGATGTCTGTTAGTAAAAATTACATTTGTTCTGCTAGACAAACTGAAGTCAGTGAGAATCACAAAAATGAATTTGAATGTCAGCAACATGAGCCATCAATTGGGGTACTTGTTTTTTTTTTTTTTTTTTTTTTTTGTTTGTTTTTTTGCCTGTCCCATTTGGTTCTTTTGCCATCAGAATTGTTGTCTAAGGCAAAGAAAGATGCCCAATGAATTTACTTTACCAAATGGACCACCCCAGCCTTGCCGTATTGGTCTATTTGATTCACCTTTGCTTTTATTGTTTATTTTAATTTCATTTGCTGAACAAGGGACAGACTTGACTGGGGGAAATGAAAAGAGAGAAAGAAAGAGGAAAAGAAAAAGAGCGGGGAAGAGGGACGGTGATAAAGGGCAAAAACCAACAAAACAAACAGACAAAAAAATATATATATCAATGACCTGGATCACCTGTTGAGAAAGAAAAAAGAGAAAACAAGCAAAGAAAAAGAGAGCAATATAATAAACAGCGGAGCTCATGGGCAGTGACGTGCCCGTGAGCTCCGCTGGCAGCCAGCTGTGCCAGAGTGACCGAACCTCAGGCCGAGAGAGCCCCAGGCTCCAGGCCCCGACAAGCAGCCACCAGGAGTGAGCCGATGGGTACCTGGATGCCCATCCATCCACCCTTGTCTGAGGGCGTCTGCCACTGGCAGCGAAAGTGGTGGGGGGAGATAGGCCTCCACAGTGAATGTGTGCTGTATTCATGGTGATAAGGTATCGTACCCAATTGCTGAGGTTGCAATTGAAGTTGAAGGCCAGTGTTACACTCTTTCAGTGGGAGTGCTGCAAACTCTGCCTTATCAAGTGGTGTTGGGCCGTGATCTTCCAATATTTACAGAGCTAATAACCAAGCATTCATGTCAGGCTGAAGCAGTTGAAAGTTTGTTAGCGGTCACAAGGTCAAAAGCAAAGGAGCAACAGGTTAATGCTTTGGGTTTGGATGAATTGCCTTTTGCAAATGAGGATGCGCCATTGGACAAGTCTAGCACTCATTCTAAACCAAAAAAGAGCACGTGACAGAGAAGACATGAAAAGGTGAAGAGAACAAGAGTAGCTGAACACATTTTATATCCTTTGAAGTCCGAGGCTCTCCCTAGTGCTAGTGAGGTTGCTTGGCTACAGAAAG